CAGGAAGTTAAAAGCTGTTTGCAAATAGTGTTTGCCCTTTTTTGGATCCAACCTGTAAGGCGGGGCAAATGCGTCACAGTAATATTGGAAAATGAATGATTTTCATTTTTATAATTTGTGATAGGTTTGTCTCTTCAGAGGTATTGAATGCTATAATTGAATATACCAAGCTACATCGTGGAGGAATGCGGTAAAAGTTATTTAAAAGTATCTATGCTTCAGCAAGGTGAATATTATGATTACTGTTGTATAATTATTTTATAGTGGTTTAATGAGATTACAGTCTAGTTTAATTTTACCAGCAAACCTTCCGCATTTGATCTGTAGTGTGGGGAAAATAAGACCCATTAACCATGTTTAAATTACTGTAGTCAATACGTGTTAGTCGATACGAAAGACCGTTGTTAACTCTTGAAAGCAAATTTGATTATTTCGCTGTGGTTTTTGTTTCGTCTCGACGATAAGCGACGTAAACTTCAAACGTGATAAATTTTAGACCACTTTAATAAAAGATTTAAAGTAAATCAAAGTCTCATCTAAACATGAATTCTTCCGTCAAATATCGCACTCTATTGTTCGCTGTGTGTAATTTTTCTAATTGATCAGTGATCTCATATGCCATAACAAACTATATTTTCGAAGGAGTTTCAATGAAATCTACATAATCATAAAGACAAATTTGCATTTGGTTGTTATAGCTAACTTCCGGAAACACGTTATGTGGGTAATTAAGTTGCATATCGCGGTTAGCCGAGATTAAACCAAGCTTGAGATGACTTTGCATGGTAATGAAATGAGCAAATAACATGATTCTGGCAGGTATTCTGATAGGCATGCTCTATCTGCGATCGTATAAATATATTGTGGTACAGAGTTGGCGACTTCTGAAACGTTTCCGTCGAAAGCATTTTGGCTATTTGAATAATTTGATCTCCTATATACAGTATACTAATCAGCGAGAAGATAAAATAACGAGAACGCTACTACGCTCAGCTTTTATATTTGTTTTCGCCATCCTTTTCTTGCACGTAAAGTAACTATAGTATACGTAGGTACTAGGTAGAACGGAATCATAACTATTAGGTAGAAGGGCTAAAACATGCTTCCCAAGGAGTAAATCTTTGACGCTATCTGTTGCTCGCGTTTTATAATCACTGCGTGTTTCGACTTTCGAAAATTATTTAGTTTTAGAAGAGCGGAGCGAACGCAATCGACAATAAATTCCGCTAACACCAGACGCCTACAAATTATTGCTTTTCCAAGCCGTAGTACAACGGTGGACAGCAGTTGTACAACGCTATCAACTTTCGAAAAGATGAAAACTCTCCCCCCTGATGTATGTATATTACGCTGACATTGCGCAACGTAGTCATTTTGAAAATTGTAATTGTTGCTCCTTACAACAATTTGTAATTGTTGCTCCAGTGTTCATCCATAGGTAGCCCGATAAAGATTCGAAATAGTAAAATTTGCTCCAGTCGCGCTATCATTGATTTTCCTATGACGTCACTGAACTCACAGCGAAGTGGAGTGAAGCGCAACTGAAGCAAATTTGACTAATTTAAATATTGAATGTAGTTCCTATGGTCCATCGCTTGCGAATACATTACATTCAATGATTATTTCTGTACTTCTGCTCGACAAAAAAAGTTTAAATTACAACCAACATCCCTTAGATGCAGTTGTGGCAATCGATATATTTGCATCTCTTTGTATGTGTTCTGAAAATTGTGTCATCAACAGGACAAGGTAAGAATTAAACAATACTTAGACCTGTTTACACTAGCTATACAGAATTAGCATGATCATGAGCCTATGGCATCAAAAATTGCTATGTCAAAGAAAATTTTACCCCCCAAAGTATGGAAGCCTGATCCAACCAAGCAGGCAATGACACACGTTCATCCGACCCTGATCTGAAAGGTCTGTTCACACGATCCAATTTTTTTTGCATCCAATCCACTTTTGACGTACGGAATAGAGTCGGTTGTTGATAAAGCAGTACAGCATTGGCTTCAGCGGGTTTGCTGATCATATACACTACAAGGCATCCGACTATAAAACATACATCAAGATGATGATGTTTTATTGGTCTTGAATATAGTTTATACAGCATAAAGTATGGTATGCAAAAAACAAGCCAATTTCCGCTAAAAAATAAAACTTTCCTTCAAGAATGCAGTCTGCAGAATTTTAAACATTTAAATGACTTTTATTTTGTAGTTTTAACTAATATATATTTTAAGTAACCTAAATATAATTTGATGCATACAGTTACATTTGGATTCCAAAGTTCAACCTACACCGTTGGTGAGGCAGATGATAAATTGCAGGTTTGTCTTGGTGTTAGCAATTTTGATGGGACTTCCTTTTCAGGAACGTGAGTAAATTTTCTTTATATTTATCAGCACATCCGGATAGCGGACGAAATACTTTGTAATTGAATCATCCATGCAATATTGTTAAAAATTTTAGACAATTTACTTCTCTCTTTTTCACTCTCGTACTGTAATTTCAAAGTGAACAGTCCTCTTTCTCAACATCTTTGATCTTTAGATGAAAAATATCTGTTTTGATGACAACAATTAATAAATCGATAAATCTGTACAACCAACATGTGCCGCTAATTTTGTGTCTATCGGTTTAATGTGTTTATCATAAATATTTCAAGATTAACATTCAGAAATGGCACTGCAACAAGCGGAGAAGATTACAAAGTTTTAGTAGGTGATGAGAAATCTGTTGGAATACAAAGTTTTATTCAAACAACTGATTGCGTTGATATTTTGATAATTGATGATAACAGTTATGAAGGCAGCGAAAATTTTACAGTTGTTTTGATGTTAAATAACAATCCCAACGTTCAAATTTCTGTTGGCGAAGCGACAGTGACTATCACAGATGATGACGGTAATGATTGTAGATCAGAGATGTATTTTCTATATATTATAGTTCCTGACATTTTTTTAGTGTGCAACGCAAGTGCAGATAGCACAGCATTTCTTTTTTATTCACCATTAATTCATGAAGATTAACGCCTGTATTCTAAAAGCTCCCTCACACTCAAATTTATTGAGTGGGAGATCTTCATCTTCTCATAACGTTTTAATGGCGGCATTTACAGACAAATAGGGGCTTGATTTTCAGTGATTCACCTTATATCTTTCCATCTATTCAGAAAAAACTTTCTCATTGATCAGCATTAACAAAATATTTATGTCACACTCAATGAGTGTGAGTGTGAGTGAGCTTTTTGAATACAGGCGTAAGTCTCGTACATCGCCATTCGTCGGCACTGTTTTTGTCGGTTCATATTGATGAGTAAAATGCTGTGTCTATTTAAAAAAAGTGTTTACTTAATTGATCACAAATAATGGATCGTAGAACATCGCCGATGACATCGCGATACTGTATGAGAACTAGGCCTAAGTCTTTAATTCTCATCATTTTCAAAATGGTTGCAAAGATTAAACGTTCGCAACACTTGCTTCAGTCAGCAATGTCTCAAAATTTCACAAGCTCCAAATTCTAAGGTACATTGAAAATTAGATTTAATCTTCTTGAAGAGAAAGTATAAGTGAGGTATCATTTTTATGTAGCCCTCTTACATCCAGCTAGTATGTTTTTAATTATATTCTTACCTTTGAAACTTGGATGCAATTCGTACTACATTTCGGTTCGAAAGTTCCACTTACACTGTTGGGTGAGAAAGATGGTACCGTGAGGGTTACCTTTTTATCAGCAATTATCAAGAAAACTTTTTAGCAACATGTTTAGATTTCGCATTAATTGATTTCGAAAATGAACAAATACTGCATGCTCCAAATTTTAATCCACATTAAAAATAAAATTTAAACTGTTAGATGAGAAATCTACAGCGGTAAAATTTTTCAAATTCGCTAATATAAAAACCAATTGCATTTACTAGTGAATATGATACGCGGACATGATGCAAAACTATACATGCTTAGAAATAGTGGGCACTGTGTTGTTTTCGCTTTTTGACGTCAAGAAATAGCCAATTTCAAAGAGAAAATATACCGCATTCTCAACGAGAGATTTTCAGAAAACACCAAAGTTTTAAAATAATTCCAATGAAGTCAAATGACTAAATGATAAGGGATAAGAAAATCAATGTCATTGTCTGGTAATATCACAATTGTGTTAAAAAATAATTACTATGCCTTCATTATCAACTCTCTTTTAATCGTTACTGGGAACATAATATGTGCAAAAGCAATTAGTATTTGTGGACAATTAAAAAATATTTCGACTTTATCCTTTTTTAAAATTATTATTTCCAGATTTCGACGAATGTGATGCAGGGTCTCATAATTGCCATCACAATGCCTACTGTAATAATACTGATGGCTCTTTCAATTGTACATGCAAAAATGGCTACTCAGGAAATGGGACAAGCTGTCAAGGTTAGACTTCAGTATAGTAAAATTCAAAAGTTAAAATTTCCCATAATTCTACAGATTTAAATTTCGCAGGAAACTCAATGGCATTGTCTAGTCATCGCACACTTTTAGAAATAAGATCCCTATATATATTACTAGGCACACAAAGTGAAGAGAAACTATTTATTTGTGAACAATAGAAATATATCTCGATTTTTTTCTCCCGAATTATTATTTCCAGATTTCAACGAATGTGATGCAGGGAATCACAGATGCCATCAGAATGCTCACTGTAACAATACTGATGGTTCTTTTAATTGTTCATGCAAAATTGGTTTCATTGGGAGTGGGACAGACTGTGAAGGTTAGGCCAGGGTATAGCAGAGGTTTCCCATAGTTTCTAAGCTTTAAACATCGCAAGAAACCTTGACAGCATTGATTATAGTCATTGCATTTTTTTACAAATTAAATTATGGTTTCTAAAGCTTTGTTTCGAATATAACTTGGAACATATAACGAACAAAGGCGTTGTATAAGTGAACAATAGAAAATACACTATATGGAATTTTATCTTTTTTGCTAAATAATTATTTCTAGATTTCGACGAGTGTGATGCAGGGAGTCACAGTTGCCATCAGAATGCTCTGTGTAACAATACTGATGGTTCTTTTAATTGTTCATGCAAAATTGGTTTCATCGGGAATGGAACAGACTGTAAAGGTTAGGCTTGAGTATAGCAGAGGTTTTCCATCGTTCCACAGCTTTAAACATCGAAGGAAACTTCAATAGCATTGTCTAGTCATCGCAATTTTATTACAAAATATGGTTGCTAAAGCTTTGTTGTGAATATAACTTGGAACATATAACGAACAAAGGCCATGTATAAGTGAACAATAGAAAATATATGGAATTTTATCTTTTTTGCTAAATAATTATTGCTAGATTTCGACGAGTGTGATGCAGGGAGTCACAGTTGCCATCAGAATGCTCTGTGTAACAATACTGATGGTTCTTTTAATTGTTCATGCAAAATTGGTTTCATCGGGAATGGAACAGACTGTAAAGGTTAGGCTTGAGTATAGCAGAGGTTTTCCATCGTTCCACAGCTTTAAACATCGAAGGAAACTTCAATAGCATTGTCTAGTCATCGCAATTTTATTACAAAATATGGTTGCTAAAGCTTTGTTGTGAATATAACTTGGAACATATAACGAACAAAGGCCATGTATAAGTGAACAATTGAAAATATATGGAATTTTATCTTTTTTGCTAAATAATTATTTCTAGATTTCAACGAATGTGATGCAGGGAGTCACAGTTGCCATCAGAATGCTCTGTGTAACAATACTGATGGTTCTTTTAATTGTTCATGCAAAATTGGTTTCATCGGGAATGGAACAGACTGTAAAGGTTAGGCTTGAGTATAGCAGAGGTTTTCCATCGTTCCACAGCTTTAAACATCGAAGGAAACTTCAATAGCATTGTCTAGTCATCGCAATTTTATTACAAAATATGGTTGTTAAAGCTTTGTTGTGAATATAACTTGGAACATATAACGAACAAAGACCATGTATAAGTGAACAATAGAAAATATATGGAATTTTATCTTTTTTGCTAAATAATTATTTCTAGATTTCAACGAATGTGATGCAGGGAGTCACAGTTGCCATCAGAATGCTCTCTGTAACAATACTGATGGTTCTTTTAATTGTTCATGCAAAATTGGTTTCATCGGGAATGGAACAGACTGTAAAGGTTAGGCTTGAGTATAGCAGAGGTTTTCCATCGTTCCACAGCTTTAAACATCGAAGAAAACTTCAATAGCATTGTTTAGTCATCGCAATTTTATTACAAATTAAATATGATTGGTTTCTAAAGCTTTGTTATGAATATAACTATATAGGAACATATAATGAACGAAAGCGATGTATATGTGAACAATAGAAAGCATCGGGAATTTTATCTTTTTTGCTAAATTATTATTTCTAGATTTCGACGAATGTGATGCAGGGAGTCACAGTTGCCATCAGAATGCTCTCTGTAACAATACTGATGGTTCTTTTAATTGTTCATGCAAAATTGGTTTCATCGGGAATGGAACAGACTGTAAAGGTTAGGCTTGAGTATAGCAGAGGTTTTCCATCGTTCCACAGCTTTAAACATCGAAGGAAACTTCAACAGCATTGTCTAGTCATCGCAATTTTATTAAAAATTAAATATGATTGGTTTCTAAAGCTTTGTTATGAATATGACTAGGAATATACAATCAACGAAGGCGATGTATATGTGAACAATAGAAAACATCAGGAATTTTATCTTTTTTGCTAAATTATTATTTCAAGATTTCGACGATTGTAATGCAGGGAATCACAGTTGCCATCAGAATGCTCATTGTAACAATACTGATGGTTCTTTTAATTGTTCATGCAAAATTGGTTTCATGGGAAATGGAACAGACTGTCAAGGTGAAGCTTGAGTATGGCAGATATCTATCGATGTCTAACTTGCATTCTAGTTTCACAGCTTTAAACTTCGCAGAAAACATGTATGGCATTGTCTAATAATCTAGGCTTTGTTAGAAATATAATCACCATGATTGCCATGCATTCGTTATCAAAAGACTTTTAGTTTTTACAGGGACATAAAGAAAACAAAACGAATGTGTTTGTAAACAGTAAAAAAATATCAAGAATGATATCGTTTTCCCGACATTATCATTTTCAGATTCAAACGAAAGTGTTGCGGGGACTCACAACTGCCATCAGAATGCGCATTGTAACAATATTGATGGTTCTTTTAATTGTTCATGCAAAATTGGTTACTTGGGAAATGGAACAAACTGTCAAGGTGAAGGTTGAGTATGACAGATATCTATCGATGTCTAACTTGCATTGTAGTTTCACAGCTTTAAACTTGGCAGGAAACATATATGGCATTGTCTAATCATTTCAATTTTATTAGAAATATAATCCCATTATCGCCATGCATTCGTTATCAAAAGACTTTTAGTTTTTACAAGGACATAAAGAAAACAAAACGAATGTGTTTGTGAACAGTAGAAAAATATCAAGAGTGATATCGTTTTTCCCACATTATCATTTTCAGATTTAAATGAATGTGTTGCGGGGACTCACAACTGCCATCAGAATGCTCATTGTAACAATATTGATGGTTCTTTTAATTGTTCATGCAAAATTGGATGCAGGGGAAATGGAACAGATTGTCAAGGTCAGGCCCTGACTGAAATCTTTCCCATGCTTGTTTATCGACAGATTTTTAATTGTTAAAGAAGATACTTTTTTGTTAAAGTTCCTTTAAAGATTTCGACGAATGTGATGCAGTGCATGATTGAAAAAACTGAGATTTTTTCGATGACACTTGCAAAATATCAGAATTATTGAGAATATATTATTATGAACACTATAATTATATAAAAATCCTAATCCTTAATTAAATTATTTTTTCAGATATTGACGTATGCATTAAAAAATCTCATAATTGCCATCATAACGCCCACTGTAATAATACTGATAGTTCTTTCAATTGTTCATGCAAAAATGGTTTCGGGGGAAATGGAACAGGCTGTCAAGGTTAGGCTTGAATATAGTATAATACAATAGTATAACTTGCTAGCAATGGCTCAAAAGTTCAGGAGCTGTATATTAATGACGTTTTAGGTTTTAGCTATGAAACGTTTACAAGAAATATGATTACCGGGTCTTGTTTATAACCATGCACGTTTGTAACGAAAATTGGAATAGCGATTCAAAAAATAGAATGATTCAAAAAACATTTTTTTATTGTGAGAAATTATGTACAGACATAACAGAATGTATTTGGTTCTTTCTCGATTCGTTCTCAAGCGTCTTTGGGTAAATGCAGTGTCTTTGGGGGAATTTCGTTTTGACCAATTAGCAAGTTTGTTAACATTTTCAGTAACTTAATCAGAATGTATAAATTTTGAGTACTTCCAGGTAAAAAGATGAGTTATTTACCACTTTACACGACGTTTTAAAAATTAAAACATTCTGATTGACTTTGTCTAAAAAATGCAAACAAATATTATGCCGATTAGTTTTAAACGAAATCCCCCCTTTTTGGTAAATTCAGTATGTTTTCCCATTTGTGTTACAAATGAAAACGATTTCCCCCTACCCACAAGAGAACATTTCGTCGGTTCTTTATATTAAACAGCATAAACTTTATTCTGACCAGTATTTTTTTAAGAAAAGTGTCTATTTGAGTGAAAATTTCGGATTCAAAGCTTAATTTTTTCCTGATCTTTTTTGGACGAAGGACGACATATTTTCTTAAATTTCATCAGTTCTGAATGTCCACGAATGTAACGCTAGAATACGAGATTGCCATTTCGATACTTTCTGCAATAATACTGAAAACAAATTTTCATTGTTCTTGGGAAATGATGGCTGCAGAGGTTATTATGCCATTATGCTAGATTCCGTTTGAGAAGAACTGATATTTTTCTGTTAACAGATCGCGATAAAATGGAAAATGGCGGAAACGAATGGCAGGATTTATACACCATTTTAATCGTGTTGATAGTCTTTGGAGTTTTTCTTGTGGTTATTATAGTGATTTTTTATCGTTGCTCAAGAAAAAAGATATCAGTCAAGGATAAACCGGCGACAAACCCAAATAAATCTCAAGACAAGTCAGTTTGTGAAAACCTGGATTTAGCTGAAGTGATATAAGGGAAAAAATAATGCTAACGAAGTGTAAAAGAAAACGTATATAGTATTCCTTACACAGTGAAACGACGAATTGTCGGACACACAAGAAACGATTTTTCACTGTAAAGACAGCGGGAAGGTATACAGAGTGTCTAAGATTAAGTTGATTGTAGTACCTATCTTAAAGGCCATGTTATAAGGTGAAATTTTTCTTGCAACTTGCAATGCAATTCTACTTTTATGATATGTAAATTACTAAAGAGTTTTCAAAATGAAGTGTAACATGCACGATGCATGGAGTGTAATAAAGGCAAAAGTCTCTCAAAGAAGAATTTATTGCAAATTGGAGGAAAAATTGCACCATGTTACATATGCGTTGAAAGGCTTGACTTTATCAGTGTATTTTAAATTTCTAAAAACTGCCCTCACTTATTTTACTATAGTTTTTTGAGTGACAATTCTTCCTCGTACTTGGCTTACAGTTTTGAAGCTGGGTCCTCCACCAATCGAAACCGCATGATACTAAAGCCTCTTCATGATTACAATCACTTAAAACAAGGCTTATACTTCAATCTAAAGAAACTCTGCAAAGTTACGCTCCTCCATAACTACATAATACTTAGTAATAATTACTTCTGTTTAGTAATAATGTAAGCATATGTGTCCGTTCGAGTTTGTTTGTAAAATTTCTGTATTATGTCTGTAGTAGTTCAGTAGTTGTATTTTAGTGTATTTATATTTAGATAAGGAGACAATTACAAATTGGGACTTATGTCCTGTTATTGTCTACTGTCACTGCTGTAACTTTTAGTGACAAACCAATAAAAAAAAGAAAGTGTTCTTATATCCAATTTAGCCTAGGTTTAGCACTAAAGGCCATGTTACACGGTGCAATTATTCTTGCAACTTGCAATTTAACTCTACTTTTAAGAGATGTAAATTAGTGAAGAGTTCTCGAAATGTAAGTGTAAGAAACGCCATAGAGTGTAATAAAGACAAAAGTTGTGCAGTGCCAAATTTACATCTCTAAATAAGGAATTAAATTGAAAGTTGCAAGAAAAATCGCACTGTGTAACAGGGCCTTAACCCTGGGTTAAATTCAACCTGCTCTTGAACAACCGGCCCCTGGTTTTCATATAACATGCAATAAGACCCGTTTCACACCATATTCAGTTTTATATGCGCGAATACATTAAAACAATAGATAATGAGGCATTTCCGTTTATTATTGATCGTCTTTGATGTATTCGGCATGTCAAAAAACGGCTTATGAAACAGACGTGACTCGTCATAATTCGTCGCAATTCACTGATATGTCATAATTTGTTGTAATTCGGTTTTCATATGTCAAATTTCGCATAAAAATGAATTACGACAATTGGATTATACGACGAAATATAACAAACGAAACTTAAATTGTGTACATGAACAAGCAATAAGATTTTCCACTGCTATAATAGCGTATTATTTAAGGCGATGAACACTATTTGTTCTCAAGCCAGCTCAGCATTCGTAATCGTAATTATAGCTAATATTTGTAATAATTCTGATTTATCCAACTATTCGAAAAACAACGAATAATTATATCACATTTTTAAATTCCAGAAGTATGATAAATTTGCTGTTTGCAAATAATGTTTGGCCTTTTTGAATCCAACTTGTAAGGCGGAGCAAACGCGTAACAATAATATTGGAAAATGAATAATTTTCTATAGATGTTTTTAGAGAATTGACAACCTCCTGTGGCCTATCTGCATAAAAAAGCTTTTAAGTATTCAAAATATCATCTTGTGATAGGTTTGTCTCTTCAGATGTATTAAATTATAATTGAATATACCAAGCTATAAATCGTGTGATTTAAAAGTATCTATGCTTCAGCAAGGTGAATATTATGATTATCAAGGTAGGTTCTTAATATATATCTGTTGTATATTTTGTGGTGGTATAATGAGAATACAATCTAGTTTAATTATAGCTACCAGCAAACCGCTATCAACCTTCCGAATTTCATCTGTATTATGGGGAAAATAAGACTCCATTAACCATGTTTAAATTACTGTAGTCACAATACGTGGTAGTCGATACGAAAGACCGTTGTTAACTCTTGAAAGCAAGTCTGATGATTTCGATGTGATATTTATTTCGTCTCGACAATAAGCGACGTAAACAAAGTTATAAATTTTCGACCAGTTTATGTCTCTTCTAAACATGAATTCTTCCGTCAAATATTGTACTCTATTGCTCAAATATTGTACTCTATTGCTGTCTTGAATTTTCCTAATTGATCAGTAATCTCACTGTGAACGAGTTACAATAATCTCTACATAATCATGAAGACAAATTTCGATTTGGTCCTGATCAGCCCTATGTAAAAAAATATTTAAGGAACTCAAGGACTCTTTAATAGCGAAGAAAATACATTTGTCTCGTTCAGCTCTATAAGGTCATGTTTGGGCTTTGTGACATTGACAAATTTAAATATCTGGATATTGTGGGTGAATCTCGTATTAGATCTAACCATAATTTTAAGTCAAGAGCTAAACAGGCACGTACTAATTACTTTAAATTCTCTTTTTTAACCGCTATATCTTGGACTGCAACTCTTTACCAGCGGAATTAAGTTGTGGAAGCTACTTCGCTGTCTACTGTAGTTTTAAGCATAAACTACTGTTGTTTCTTCTGCAAAATCGGTATTTACTTCAGTTTAGTTTCCAGAAAAGCAGTTTATAAATAGGAATTTCGTTTCCTCCTACTGCTCTCCCCCCCCCCCCATTTCTATCTCTTTGTTTATAGATAGTGGGAAAGATTTATTAAGTCATTAAATAATAGCTTCATTCCGGAAACACGATATGTGGTTAATTAAGTTGCATATCCCGCTTAGCCGAGATTAAACCAAGCTTGAGATGACTTTGGGTAATGAAATGAGCAAATAACATGATTCTGGCAGTAATATAGTCATCCTGACAATAGCATGTGCTTGTATGGTTTCCTAAAGACTTATTTCAATACCTAAAAGTCGTCTCACTCTTCGTTAAATGACAGCTAGCTCCTTAGATCAATTGAATTATTTTCCGACAGACAAAGCATTTTTCGCACCAGTGACATGAGAAAAAGGAGACCCTGGTGCTTAGGACAAGTAGAACCTGGCTTAATAGAGACTATAATAGTTTTCATTTCTGAAAATGAAATAATATATGAAGTAGCTTGAAACTTGGAGCTAATTAAAAGATGGCGGAAATTAGAGGAGTAGTTATGAAAGGTAATTTTCAATCCTACGTTCGCAGCGAAATATTTTTTTCATAATTGAAACAGGAGTTATGGTCCTTCGAACCTCGGATATTCAGAAGAATATAAAAAGGAAATAAAGTTTTTTATTACAATTTTTTTCCTGTATCTAACTTATGTGGCACTATATATTTTTTCACTACATTTTCAATGAATATGAATTTTCCCCTTAGCTTTTGAGTAAATTTTGCTTTTATACCTATTACCTATAAATATTGTACTTGCGTAAAATTTTGCTTTTACCTTACACGGTGTTTAGACAATTGTTATTACTTTATTTTTTGGCCAGTATTCCTAGCATGGGGAATTCAAAATTTAATCTCATTCTACTTTTAGAAATTATTCAAAGTTCTCGAAATGTAAGTGTAAGAAACGCCATGGAGTCTACTAAAGACAAAAGTTGTGTAGTTGCCAAGTTTACATCTCTAAATAAGGATTTGAATTGAAAGTTGCAAGAAAAATCGCGGCACTGTGTAGGAGGGTTAAATTTAACCTGCTTTTGAACAACCGGCCCTGGTTTTCATATAACATGCAATAATTAAGGCCCGTTTCACACCATATTCAGTTTTATATGAGCGAAACATTAATCAAAGAAATAGATAATGAGGCATTTCCGTTTATTATTGATTGTCCTTGATGTATTCGGCATGTCAAAAACAGCGTATGAAACAGACGTGACTCGTCATAATTCGTCGCAATTCACTGATATGTTATAATTTGTTGTAATTCGGTTTTCATATGTCAGATTTCGCATATAAACGAATTACGACAGTTGGATTATACGACGAAATGTAACAAATGAAACTTAAATCGTGTACATGAACAAGCAATAAGATTTTTGCACTGCTATAACAGCGTAATATTTAGGGCGATGAACACTCTTTGTTCTCAAGCCACTTCAGCATTCCTAATCGTAATTATAGCTAATATTTGTAATAATTATCATTTCAACTCGATTTATTCAGCTATTCGTAAAACAACAAATATTTATATCATATTCTTAAATCACAGAAGTATGATGAATTTCATAGGCATTTAAAACCTTTTTGCAAATAGTGTTTGTCTTTTTTTCCATTTTGGATCCAACCTGTAAGGCGGAGCAAACGCGTCACAATAACATTCGAAAATGAATAATTTTCTATAGATGTTTTTAGAGAATTGACAACCTCCTGTGGCCTATCTACATAAAATAGCTTTAAAGTATTCAAAATATTATCTTGTCATAACTTTGTCTCTTCAGATGTATTGAATGCTATAATTGAATATACCAAGCTATATCGTGGAGGAATGGTCAATGCGGTAAAAGTTATTTAAAAGTATCTATTCTTCAGCAAGGTAAATATTATGATTACTGTTGTATATTTTATGGTGGTATAATGAGAATACAGTCTAGTTTAATTATACCAGCAAATCTTCCGCATTTGATCTGTATTGTGGGGAAAATAAGACCCATTAACCATGTTTAAATTACTGTAGTCAATACGTGTTAGTCGATACGAAAGACCGTTGTTAACTCTTGAAAGCAAGTCTGATGATTTCGCTGTGTTGTTTGTTTCGTCTCGACGATAAGCGTCGACGTAAACAAACGTGATAAATTTTCGAACACTTTAATTTAAAATAAAAGATTCAAAGCAAATCAAAGTCTCCTCTAAACATGAATTCTTTCGTCAAATATTGTACCCTATTGCTCAAATATTGTACTCTATTGCTGTCTGTTATTTTCATAATTGATCAGTGATATCTCATATGCCATAACAAACTATATTTTCGAAGGAGTTACAATGAACTCTACATAATTATAAACTATAAAGACAAATCTCCATTTGGTCGTTATGGCTACCTTCCGGAAACACGATATGTGGGTAATCAAGTTGAATATCGCGGTTAGCCGAGATTAATACTCGAGGTAGCTACCATTTTCCGGACGTTCTGTTTACACAAGGTTATCTTAGCAAGTATTTACCCTATGAATACTCAGAAGGTTTCATTTGAAAGCTTAAAGTATGATCTTTCATCTGATGTATTTGTTTTTGCAATTCATAACTATCCCCGTCCGGATTGAACATAATCCCAAATTACATGCGACCGCATCGTTAAAAATTGCGAAGAACAGCCACGCGTTTGGCTGAAAATCAACTAAAATACGTCGTCTGAATGATTTCTACCGGTAAAATCAATTTCCGGGGCATGTTGTTTCCTAGGATACACATAATATCAAAACATACAGCCCGAAAGACGCCCGAAAGACGCCCGAAGGAGATTTCCGCCCGACCGAGTGTTTGTGCAAATTCCCACATTTAAGGAAAAATATGTACTTCTGGCGTATGATATTTAGTACAAATATAGAGCAGGATTTTATAAACAAAATGGTGGGCGAACCGTCGCTTTTGGCTGAAAAGAAACGAAGCTACAACGCTACAAAGATAAGGCATTGCATCATACTTTCCACAATGCATCTTTGAGATTGAGTGAGACATTTGTTTGTTGAAATATCGCGATAACTCGCCTAAAACGCGATGAAAATTTACGAAATCAATACAAAAGTAAGATTATGATATTTACTATTCAGTCGTAGAATTTTCATGTCCCAAGTATTCGTTTTGCCCAAGTTTTTAAATTTTGAATTCACCCGTCCTCGGGGACCGATATTAAAGTAACATGATTCTGGCAGTAATGTAGTCATCCTAACAATAGCATGTGCTAGTATGGTTTCCTAAAGACTTATTTCAATACCTCAAAGTCGTCTCACTCTTCGTTGTGTGACGGCTAGCTCCTTAAATCAATTGAATTATTTTCCGACAGACAAAGCATTTTTCGCACCAATGACATGAGATAAAGGAGACCCAGGTGCTTAGGACAAGTAGGAACCTACCTGGCTTAATAGATAGACTATAATAGTTTACATTTCTGAAAATTAAATAATATATGACGTAGCTAGGAACTTGGAAATAAAAGATGGTCGAAATTATACAGGAGTAGCAATGAAAGGTCATTTTCAATCCTACGTTCCTAGCGAAATATTTTTCGTAATTTAAACGGGAGTTATGGTCCTTCGAATTTCGGATTTTTAAAAAAATAAAAAAGGGAAATAAAGTTTCTTATGGTAATTATTTTGATTTCTAAGATTAAAAATACGGGGAGTTTGTCGCGAACGTTGTGTTCAATAGATCACGTTGACGTTGAAACGACATAGAAAAGTATGCGTGGCGAGAAGCTTGTAATAAGGCATAGCAGTAAAAATAAATTAACATTTGAGAGAAAATTGATTATGGCGACAGCCTTTTGTCACTAATGTTGTAGCCTGCATGGCAGGTGGTCCCTAAATTAGGGCAAGGCAAGGACGGCGAAACAGTGCCTGCCATGCCGGGTTTGGCTATGTTTTTTGTCAACCGCCCATTTTTAGTCCCAGCGCATTTAGCTAATCGACAAACAGTTAATATTATAATAACAAAACTGTAATAACTAATAACTGGGATATACACTTGTGGTCAAAAAGAACTGCTCAAAACAAGTTAAAATGCTCTCAAATTAACTTAACTGTCCCACTAACAATATATACGAGTAAATATAGATTAGATTACATGCTAAGCTATATGAAATATTAATATTTTGACTATGTGCACACGGTAACGTTTTCGAGCGTTTTCATTTTCGTTTTCACGCCAAAACGGTTTCAAACACCGTCAATTTACAATAGAAGTTGAAGCTAATTTAACATATTAAGCATATTTTCCCTTGGATCGTGTGGACAGGGCGTCAAATCGATAAACTGGATAAAAACGATTTTGAAAACGCTCGAAAACGACGCTCGTGTGCACATAGTCTTTGTTGACCGTCCTTTGGCGCTATAATTGATGACGGCCTTACACCGGCGTGGCATACTTTCTGTTAAGGTGGTAATCTTCACGGTCAAAAGAAATTCATCCTATGGACAGTCTTCACAGCAACCCATAAATCATGGACGCTTTATGAATTAATTCCTCTCTTGCACTATCCTTTTGACATTTTCCCACAGATTTTCAATAGGGTTAAGGTCTTTTGACTGTGCAGGCCAATCCATTTCTGTCACAGCCTCTTCCTGCAACCATTGTTTGACTATATCTTGGAAGTGTGGCAGGTTGCATTACATTATTGAAATATTGTTTGGAATAAGAGAATTATACAAAATGCCAATGAAGCTCTCTCCTATACTCGCTTCTTTTTTATGAAATTGTATCTAAACCGTTCTTTTTCAGTGCATTTTAGCCAAAAATAAAAACCTGTGAAACCTTGTGAAACCTTGCAAAAGTGTGTTTTCATTGACCTATTAAACCTTATTTATAGTACTTCTAAATTAGGCATCCTTCTTATAATAGGCCCAATTAAATCTGTAAGTTTGTTGCTTTTAATCCAAGCAGTTGTAGAACGGTGAATAGTGCTATTCAACTTTCGTAAAGATGTAAACCCTCCCCCCTGAGGTAGTCATTTTGAAATTCGTAATTGTTGATCCTTACATACATTCTGTTGCCCCGTTCATCCATAGGTAGCCCGATAAAGATTTGAAATAGTAAAATTTGCTCCAGTCGCGCTATTATTGCTTTTTCATGCGACCTCTATGACGTCACAGAACTCACAGCGAAACTGCAGTCAAGCGCAACTGAAGAAAATTTGACTATTTTGAATATTTGCTGAAATTCCTATGGTTCATCGCTTGCGAATACAGTACATTCAATGATTATTTCTGTTCCTCTGCTCCACGAATAAAATTTTAAATTATAACCAACATCCTTAGATGCAGTTATGGCAGTCGATATACTTGCATATCTTTGTATGTGCTCTGGAAATTGTGTCATCAACAGGACAAGGTGAGAATTAAACAATACTTAGACCTGTTTACACTAGCTATACCGGATTAGCATGATCATGAGCCCACGCCATCAAAAATTGCTCTGAAAGAAATTTTACCCCCCAAAGTATGAAATTAAAAGCCTGATCCAACCAAGTGTGGAATGACATACGTTCATCCGACCCATATCCGAAAGCTCTGTTCACAGGATCAATTTTTTTGCATCCAATCCACTCTTGACGTATGAAATATAGTCGGTTGTTGATAAGGCAGTACAGCATTGGCTTCAATGGGTTTGCTGTTATTTTACACTACAAGGCATCAAACTATAAAACATCCGTCAGAAGTGAATTTGATCCCACAAAGTTGGATCTTGAACATAGTTTATACAGCATAAAGTATGGTATGCAAAAAACAAGCCAATTTCCGCTAAAAAACAAAACTTTCCTTCAAGAATGCAGTCTGCGGAGTTAATTTTAGACCTTTAAATGACTTTTATTTTGTAGTTTTAACTAATATATAATTATTGTAAGTAACCCAAATATAAATTGATGAATACAGTTAGGTTTGGATTCAAAAGTTCAACCTACACCGTTGGTGAGGCAGATGGTAAATTGCAAGTTTGTCTTAATGTTAGCAATTTTGATGGGACTTCTTTTTCAGGAACGTGAGTAAATTTTCTTTATATTTATATGCACATCCGGATAGCGGACGGAATACTTTGCAATTGAATCATCCATGCAATATTGTTAAAAATTTTATACAATTTATTTCTCTCTTTTTCACTCTCGTACTGTAATTTCAAAGTGAACAGTCCTCTTTCTCAACATCTTTGATCTTTAGATGAAAAATATCAGTTTTGATGACAATAATTAATAAATCGATAAATCTGTACAACAAAGATATGCGGCTAATTTTGTGTCTATCGGGTTAATGTGTGTATCATAAATATTTTAAGATTAACGTTCAGAAATGGCACTGCAACAAGCGGAGAAGATTATTCAGATGATGAGAAATCTGTTGGAATACAAAGTTTTATTCAAAAAACTGATTGCGAAAATATTGATATAATTGATGATAACAGTTATGAAGGCAGCGAAAATTTTACAGTTGTTTTGATGTTAAATGACCCCAACGTTCAAATTACTATTGGCGAAGCGACAGTGACTATCACAGATAATGAAGGTAATGATTTGAGATGTATTTTCTATATAAATTATTATAGTTACTGACATTTTTTTAGTGTGCAACGCAAGTGCAGATAGCACAGCATTTCTTTATTTGTTTACTTTATTAATTCATGAAAATAAAGTCTCGTACATCGCCATTCGTCGGCACTATTTTCATCGGTTCGTATTGATGAGTAAAATGCTGTGTCTATTTAAAAAAAAATATTTACTTAATTGATCACTCATAATGGATCGTAGAACATCGCCGATGAATCACGACATACTGTATGAGAACTAGGCCTAAGTCTTTAATTCTCATCATTTTCGTAATGGCTGCAAAGGATAAACATTCGCAATACTTTCTTCAGTCAGCAATGTCTCAAAAATTTCTCAGGCTCCAAACAAGCTCGAAATTTCATAGTACATTAAAAATTAAATTTAATCTTCTTTAAGAAAAAGTATATAAGTGACATATCATTTTCATGTAGCCCTTTTATATCCCCGATAAAGGCGAAAGCTATATAGTATGTGATAAATTATATTTTTACCTTTGAAACTTGGATGCAGTTCCTACTACATTTCGGTTCAAAAATTCCATTTACACTGTTGGGTGAGGAAGATGGTACCGTGAGGGTTACCTTTTTATTAGCAATTATCAAGAAAACTTTTTAGAAGCGTGTTTAGATTTCGAATTAATTGCTCTGAAATTAATTGAATTAATTGAAAAAATTAATTGCTCGCATTAATTGAAAATGAACAAATATTGCAGGCTCTAAATTTTATTCTATTTTACATTAAAAAAAAATTTAAACTGTTTGATGAGAAATCTGCAGCGGCAAAAATTTTCATATTGGCTGATATTAAAACCAATCGCATTTACCGGTGAATATGATACGCGAACATCATGCAAGACTACGCGCTGTGTTGTTTTCACTACCTTGCCGTAGCCAACTTCAAAGAGATAATATACCGCATTCTCAACGAGAGACTTGCAAAAAAACACCAAAGATTTAAAATAATTTTAAAAAAATACGTGCGATATTAATTTTGGATGCCTAGATTATCATTTTATTAAATCATTTTATTACTAAAGAAGCCAAGATTTCGTGTATGAATCGTTTTATACTTATAGGAAAACGTAATATAACAAAAAAAATCAAAATTCATATGTGACAATAGCAATTCATATTATGAAATTTATTTCCTACACGTGAACGTAAAATTTCATATGATATTTAAAAAAATTCATATGTTAAAATCCAAAATTTGACCAATGAAACAAAAATTTCATATGTGAAAGCAAAATTTCATATGTGAAACTAGCATCATAATAATTTACTTTTTACATGTGAAATAAACGTCATACACAATTGAATTTTTCATCGGAGAAGCCAAAAATTTTATGTATGAATTGTTTTTTTACACAGGAAAATTATTTTTAAAAAAAATAAAATTCATATATGAAAGTCACTTTTCTTATGTGAAAATCAAATTTCATATATGAAGTCTTTAATTTCATATATGAAAATGATCATTTCATATATGAAACTCCATTTCATAATGAATGTTATGTGAAATTTTTGTAAGGGGATTTTTACGCTAGCCATTTCACACTACGCTAGCCATTTCACATCACGGTGGACCATTTCACACTGGTACCTGCTAGCCTGTGCTAGACCGTTTCACATTACCAATTTACGCTAGACCATTTCACATTATGCGAGACCATTTCACGTTATGCCAGCCATTTAACATTAATCTAGATGACTTCACATTGCGCTATACCATTTCACATTACGCTAGACCATTTCACATCACGCTAGACCATTTCACATTGCGCTAGACCATTTCACATTATGCTAGACCATTTCACATTATGCTATACCATTTCACATTACGCGCGACCATTTCATATTACGCTAGACCATTTCACATTGCGCTAGCCCATTTCACATTATGCTAGACCATTTCACCTTACGCGCGACCATTTCATATTACGCTAGACCATTTCAAATTGCGCTAGACCATTTCACATTATGCTAGACCATTTCACATTATGCTATACCATTTCACATTGCGTGCTACCATTTCATATTACGCTAGACCATTTCACATTATTTCATATTACGCTTGGCATTTCACATTGCGCTAGACCATTTCATATTACGCTAGGCATTTCACATTATGCTAGAACATTTCATATTACGCTAGCCATTTCACATTTCGCTAGACCATTTCACATTGCGCGCTACCATTTCATATTACGCGAGACCATTTCACATTGCGCTAGAACATTTCATATTACGCTAGGCATTTCACATTATGCTAGAACATTTCATATTACGCTAGCCATTTCACATTTCGCTAGACCATTTCACATTACCCTAGACCATTTCACATTACGCTAGACCATTTCACATTATGCTAGACCATTTCACATTATGCTGGACCATTTCACATTACGCTAGACCATTTCACATTACACTAGACCAATTCACATTACTGAAAATCATTTCACATCACGCTAGACCATTTCACATTACGCCATAGGAAGCCCAAACAAATGAGTTGAAGTCAATAAAAATCCGTAAAACACTTGAGATATGTGTTAAAATGAATTAAAGTGTGTAATTTTCTACAAAACTACTGTTAGAACCATGTATGTAGCGTGCTCCAGTGGCGCTGCCATTTGACTATGCAACTAGCGACGTAACTTACTACATATTAGTGGGACGGATGGAACCTCTCGCCTCAATTTTCAACATAATGACAAATTAAAACACAAATTACTATAGTAAAACGCCACGTCGCATGCTAAATGCCTACCATAGGTTTAAGTTGAATAATCAAACTATACTTTCATAATAAAAATAATGCTAAATTCAAAGGAAAGCGCAGGAAAAACGTACACAAATTTTGTAAATTGGCCGCAATTTTCGTGAATACAAGCGGGATGTAAGTGCTTACCCAAAATGGCAGCGGCAGAGAAATCTGATTGGTCGATCATTCTTTGCTTACCTTTCTCGACCAATCTGATTAATTGGACGATCATACTTTGTTTACTTTTCTCGACCAATCAGATTCTTCTCCCGCTGCCATTTTTGGTAGGTACTTACATCCCGCTTGTATTCACGAAAATTTCGGCCAATTTACAAAATTTGTTTATGTTTTTCCAGCGCTTTCCTTTGAATTCAACATTATTTTATTTTTTTATTAGGCATTTAGCAGTCGATGGGCCATTTTACAATAGTAATTTGTTTTTTAATTTGTCGACATGTTAGGCGAGAGTTTCCATCCTTCTCAATAATATAGTAAGTTACGTCGCTAGTTGCATAGTCAAATGGCAGCGCCACTGGAGCACGCTACATACATTCAGGAGAACTCTCCTGACGAAGGCCCTCAGGTCGAAACGTCAAGAATTTTTTTTTCTATTTTGGCAGTTGTTATACCTATGCCTGCCCATCTGTAGCAATATTCAATAACATTATATTTATTTTATTTAATGAATATTTTTACTGATAAATCTAAATTTATTCAATTTAATACGCGAATATTCATTCAATTCAATACGCGAATATTCATTCAATTCAATACGCGAATATTCATTCAATTCAATACGCGAATATTCATTCAATTTAATACGCGAATATTCATTCAATTTAATACGCGAATATTCATTCAATTCAATGCGCGAATATTCATTCAATTTAATACGCGAATATTCATTCAATTTAACACGCGAATATTCATTCAATTTAATACGCAAATATTCATTCAATTCAATACGCGAATATTCATTCAATTTAACACGCGAATATTCATTCAATTTAATACGCAAATATTCATTCAATTTAATACACGAATATTCATTCCTTCAAATGTGGCGAACTGTAACTATAACGTAATCAGTGAACTCTAAACCCTCTGTGTCTAAACGATAACCTGGCCGCTATCTTTGAAACCAGCACTGATGGCCGCCCAGTGTGCGCCCGCCATGAAGGCCAAGAGTTGAAATTACACTACGAAAACAACGCCGGTTTTTATACACAAATCCATCTCATCTGAGCATGAATAAAAGCTTAAAATAAGCATTGACACTTCGACTTTACCAAAAAACAATTTTGATGAACGTGAAAAGGTGCAAGCCTATTCTTTTTGTTAGATGAAGACGAAGTTTTTCTTCGGCCCGTTTAAATTCTTCAAATATTTCAACTACAAAGCTGGTACCTCGCCGGTTTTTACAGTAGGATCACTAAGATGATGCGGATTACTTAGGTCTATCCAAAGAGGGTAAATTCGTTGTTCAAAGTCGAAGTGGTTAGATGAAAAATGTACTTTTATGGCAATTTTTTGCCAAAAAATACGATTTCCGGGGAATTTTTCACTCTCCCCAGTACGGTGGCCCACAGCGGCCACGGCAAAAAAATGAGGAAACGAGGCGCAGAATTTTTTTATGGCGGCCCAGAAGGGTCACGGCAAAACTTTCAGGAAACATCACAGCATATATTTTGGGGGAACACAAAAAAGTTTTTTAGTTAAACGTTCGTCGCAAACTATTTTTTGTCAAACCTATGGAGAAAAAAAAACATTCAACTGCAATATCTGTGTCATAGCATTATGGTAAAACGCGGACTGGACTATAGATTAATAAAACACGGACTGGAATCGATAAAATTTCTTGTTAATTTTATAATTATTAACACAACAAGAGATTTAAAAAGTCGTATCCCAAAGTTTTGGAAAGGAAGCGTAGAGCCTTGATATCCCGTAGAGTATTATACAATTACTTAATGGTTTCTGTGTTTGGATGATCTGATCCAAACACTTGGGAATGTTGCTCGAGTTAAGAAAAGCTCGCAAAACACTCGCCGAAAGTAATTGTTTTATAAAATAACAAACCATAATAATTTAAATTTGTTTTTAAATTCCCGCGAAATTTCCGTGTTTGGATGGCCTGATCCAAACACGGGCTTCAACCAATCAGAACACGCGTTATATACATGTTATTTTATAATG